GTATTTGATAATGTTTTGAACTTTTAATATCACATGGTAAAACCAGAGGCTGCTCTTCATATTAGTGACAAACTTTGGCGTTTTTGATGGGTTACCTTTATTTTTGCTTCTACTTTTAATTTAAAATAAGTTTCCATTCTCGGCAGGTTTCTAAGGTTCTTCTTCTACGTATTAAAAAAGTTGTTAAACATCTTAGTGGTGCACTACCGCTACTAGTGGTGAGAAAGTGTATTGCACCTTATTCAAAATCAATGCGGTCCTGCGGCCCTCTGCGGCCCAAAGTTAATAACTGTTGTTCTTTTGAGGCCCTGAAGGTGGCGCTCGCAGCCCACCCCATAGGTTAAGAATCTCTGCTCTAATTCTTCTGCTGTTTGTAGCCGTTAGCTAGTCTTGTAGCCTTTATTTTGACCAAACTCTGTCCTGGTGCCTGCAGGTTACAGCAGGAGTGGGGACGCCTACTCGGACTCCGGTCACAGTGAGATCTCCTCTCGCTCCAGTCTGGTCAGTAACTCCTCTTTCGACATGGCCCAGGAGGAGAGGAGACTCCGCCACTCTGGGGGAGTTTGCGACTCCCACATGGGGGGACCTCGGCTGGAAAGAAGAGCCACCACTGACCCTGACCAGTACAGTCTGGGGTAGGAAAAATAAAGGGCTTTTATAGGAAAATCTGTTTTCTTTTCTTCTTTTTTTAAGTTTCAAATATTTGTCTTCCAGCTCGTATTCATCGATGCAGGACTGTCGAGGCATTTACGCCGGCTGCCCCACAGTCCTCTCCTCGCCCAGCTCAGAGGAGCTGACTCAGGATCAGGGCGATCGCGTGTCCCTGGACGCCGCAGACAGCGGCCGCGGCTCCTGGACTTCCTGCTCCTCCGGCTCCCACGACAACATCCAGACCATGCAGCAGGGACGCAGCTGGGAGACCCTGTCCTTCGGAGGGGGAAGCATGGGACTCCATTTGGGACAAGAGGCCTTGCTGGGGGGTCCCGCTGCTCTGTGGGCAGCGCAGACCCGAGGGAGCTGGGCCTCTGCTAGCTCCTCCTCCTCCTCAGCAGCGTACTGGGGCGAGGACTCTGAAGGAGATACCGGCACGATAAAGAGGAGAGGAGGAAAGGATGTCAACGCCGACCCGGAGACGAGTAGCATCACATCCACCGGGTCAGAGGAGGCCAAGCATCTTGGTCGGCCATCCCCGTCGCCCATCACTGCTGGGGGTAAAGGCTACAGTGTTTAAAATCCTGCTTGTGCTTCTCAAAATGTTCAAATCTTCCTTTAAAACGGGTCTGCAAGCTGTGGCTCTGGGGCCACATGTGGCTCTTTGGTCCCTCTGCAGTGGCTCTTTGAAAATGTGACCAAACATAACAGAATATATTGTTTTTTATACTCAAAACAGAAATCAATTTGTATGCAAATACTGTATGTGATCAATACTACTAATACAAAAGATAAAAGAAATTAGCTCATGCTAGCCTGTTATTTACCTAAATAATCCATCTTTCTGTGATCTTTCTCTCAAATCCATCAGAAGTGCATTTAAATAATTTGAAAACTACGTAATAATAAGAATTAGAAGAAAATAAATACCTGAATAGTTCAGCTGAACTAGTTTTAATGAAATTCGATAAACTATATACAGTATTTTTCTTGTTTACATGAAGATGTGACCCATCACATCAAAGTCTAAAAGTTGTATGTGGAGAAATAGGTAGATATAGTGTTTTGATTAAAACTCTTGCAAAAATTACATTTTGTCAAAATATAACAAATAAATGTGTTATCAATGTATAATTTCAATCAACTGTCTGAAATATTATCCTAAAAGTTTTTTTTTGAAGCACTGTTTTGAGCATTTGCAACAAAAAATAACCCAGATTTTTTGGAAAAATGCCTTAAAATGTTGAGATTTTTGCTGTAAGATATCAAAGCTTTTCTTTCCAGCTGGGAAATCTCAATATTCAAAAACACTATTTGAGGTTTCTTTTTTCAAATGACATAAAAAATCCTCATTAAATTACATAAAATTAGGATTTAGACCAAATATTTATGTATTGTAACCAACAAGACAGATTAAATAATATATCTGGATCTACTAATGATATCAGGATGATCTAAGTATTAAAATGTAGCTTTTAAAGCCAAGAACATGAAAATATTATTACGTCATTTTGAACAAATTTGACTTAATCGTCATTTCGATGTGATGGGTCACATATAGTCTTTTCATTTGTCCTGATGTGCAAAAATAAAAAAATTCACAATATATTTTTTAGTTTTATAACTGGCCATAAAGGTTCCTGGAAAGGCCTCGAAAAGGCCCACGGACCACCAGTTGATAATCACAGTTGTAGCTTGTTTTGCCGCTCTGAATACATTTTATTAGTGAGCCGTGGAGCAGAAATGTCTTTTTTGACTGTAAAGTTTGCAGACTCCTGCTTTAAACCCACCTGCTGTCCCGTCATTGAGCCCTTTTATCTCGTCTTCCCGAAGGTCGAAAGGAGGGCCGATTCCGTGACCCCCCACCCACTCCGCCGGGCTACACGGCCCTGACCATCTCCGACGTGACGGACGGGCAGCACCCGCCTTCCTCCGCCCCCACGCCCACGGCGACCCACTCGAGTCGCCGGCCGCCCGACTACACCACCGCCCTGCAGCGCTCGCGCATGGTCACCCAGTCGCCCGACTCCCACCAGGCCCACCAGGCGGCCAAGCACCGGGCGGGGGGCCTCCACCGCACCCGCTCGCCGGCCGAGGACCAGGAGCCCGAGGAGGAAGAGGAGGGTGAGTCCTTGTCCTCCAAACTAGTCGCTCTGAGGAAACCAGTGGCTCGGCACCGACCGTGACAGGTGGGGGTTAACAGACAGGGCCGCCCTCCCTCCCCCCATTAAGGCAGGTAAAAACTAATTTATGAGGCTGCCCACCCCCCACCTCTCCTCTCCAAAGAACCTGCATGTTAACAAGGACACACAAGACTGCACCCCTTCATAAGCTCCACCCCCCCCAGCACATTTAACCGACAAGCAGGGGCAGAAAACCTCTCTCTAACTCACAACACATCATCCTGCATGAGTCAAACTGGTGTAATTAGACCCTCACTGCTGCCTCCATGCAGTATATTCTGCTGTTCTCCCTCACACGGCACACTGTGTCATGAAGCACCAGTTACAGGGCACAGCCTTGTTCTGTCACGTTAAACCAATCACCAGAATCCTGCATCGTATTTCTCTTGCATAACTCACCTTCAGTCACTCTTTAAGCCCTGTTCGCACGGGGTAAGCATCATCTGGGGACCCCGTGTAATAAACAAATTACTCCCCGATGTCTGTTTTTTATGTGGTGCGTTGCATCTGATTTTGCTCCTTTTCTTCAGTCGTTCCTTTTTGATGCTGCACCTTACAGGTCTGAGAAGAAACCGTGTTCAGTTACTCCGTTCATGTTTCCTGCAGATCCTTAAAAAGACTTAAAAGTCATTGAATTCATCAATCCAAAAATAAGGCCTTATTT